GTGTTACAGCAGCCGTTGATATTTTCCTACTAATCTGTCCATAACTCTGTAATGTTTGTATTGTTCCTATGCTATTTCATAAATGGATGTATGTTTATTACTATATGTTTCCTACAACAACCATTGAGAATAGTCAATGATTATTCAATTGGTCACTCATGTATAGCTCTATTTATTTTCTTTAGAAACTGTTTTGAAGATACAAAAGTATAGTACAACAACCATTGATAATCTTCAACCACTTTTGTCTGTAACTCACTATTTGTCTATTTGTTTTCCTGAGAAACTATCTTATAGATAACAATATGTAAAACAACAACCACTGATAATTTCCTCCCACTTTGTCTGTAATTCGGTAAGCCCCCCTATTACTGTTATCCTTCTTTTACTCTTTAAAATAATTTTTTTTAAAAAATGAGTTCCTAGAAAGGAGTTATTATCTGGGACAAGGTCTGGCCCTAGGGTGAGTGGCCTGTGAGGAGACGTTTATTTTGGTAGTGACAATGACTGAGAAGCTTCTCAAAGAAGAGCCTTTCCCAGGGAAGTAAGACCTACTGAATAGTTTTTGTAAAAGTCACAGGCACCCCAGCTCTGAATGTGTGGCTGTATTTATTTGTGTCTCCTGTGGTGTACCCCTCCACCCTGTCGTCTGGGTAAAGTACGCAAATGTGGGAATGATAATGTTTATTCCTCTGTGTTTTATTCATTCTACTCCTGCCACCTACCAGGCACTCTATACATAGCTGGAACACAGTATATACCTATTTATTCATTCAAAGGACACCTGACTGCCAAAAATGGAATAAGCAATGTTCTAGGTGCTTGAATATTATACACAAACAAGGTCATAACAAAAATAATTTTGTTTTCTGGTGGTAGTGAGGAATGAACCCAGAGTGCTTGTACTGAGCTACATCCTCAGCCCCTCATATTTTTTTAAAATTTTGGACAGGGTCTCACTAAGTCACTAAATTGCCTAGGCTGTGCTTGAGTTTGACATCCTCCTGTATTAGCCTCCCAGAGTGCTAGGATTACACAGGTGTGCCACCACATCCAGCTTTACTACAGGATCGTGGAGGGCAAGGTATTATAAGCTGCTGCTGCTGTTGTTTAAATCTTCCACCTGTGACTGGGACCCACAAGTGTAGGCTCCAGTTCCACCATAACTTCTGTCTCAGACTGCACTGTCTGGCATGGAGAGTCTGTGTCACTAGCTCAGATAACTCTGCTTTGTCTCCCTGTGTAGTTCTTACATATACAAACTGAACACAGATTTTTCACACTTCCCTGAAGCTCTTCACTATTTCACCCAAAAGCAAAAACTAAGAGTTTTGTTTCTTTGTACCTCAATGTCATCAATAAGTTCCTTTTTTCTCAACAAATGCCCAAAAGTTCTTCTCTCTCTTCTAATGAGAGGTCTTCAGGCACTCAAAGAAAAAAATCAGTTCAATAACAACTGCTTTGAAGAATCATCTGGCAATGTCTGCTAAGGCTGAAGATGAGGGCGGGCAGCTGGAAGGCTAAATGACATCTTCTTCTTCCCACTGCTCACCAAGCCCATTGCTTTACCTTTAAAGCGTAAAACAAAGGCTAGCACACAGCAAACACGGTTGAGGGCGGGGGCACCCCACCAAAACTTGTGGGTAAGATAAATACTGACACCTTCCCTAGTCTTCCCCTCAGGGCTCCAAGACCACAGAGCAGGCACCAGCCTCACTCCTCCCAAACTGCCCAAGTCCAAAGCTCTTCTCTGCACCATCCAAAGAGCTGCAGCTCCACAGATACTGACAAAGGGGGCCACGACCAGCGCACAGGCAACCTCACCTAGCGGAGGAACAGCCAGCACCTCTTCCTGCTGAACTCAGAGCTCCCAAATGCTCTTAGTCCTTCACCCTCAAACATGGGTAAGCCTGAAACATTCGAGACACATACTGAGACACACTGAAGCTAAGAGAGGTCAGAGTGGTTACACCCCACGGAGCAAGAAATGCTGTAGGAAGCAGGGTAGTGCTGGCCCCCTCCTCAACCCCATCTCCACTATAATGCCCACAGAACCCTGAGTCTTTAGTACATATTTAATGAGTAAGTATAAAGAGACATTTCAATCTGAGCCAGAGGAAAAAAGCAAGATAGGAAGAAAAAGAGGGAGAGAGAAAGAAAGAAAGAAAGAAAAAAAGAAAGAAAGAAAGAAAGTCAGTCATTGGGAGTGTAACTTGGTGTCGTGGTTACTTTTCTCTCGTTGCTGAGACAAAATACCTGACACCCAGAATTAAGGAAAGAAAGGTTTATTTAGCTCACAGTCTGTGGAGGTTTCAGTCCATATTCAGCTGACTCCAAGGTAGGATGGCACATGGCAGAGGCAACTGTTCATGGCAGTGGAAGACAGCAAAAGCAGCAAGAGCAAAAGGGAGGAGTGGCAGCAAGCAGCCTCTTTCTCTCCCTTACATATGCAAACTATCCGCCCCAGGGCGGCTGTAGCACTCACACCCATGAATCAATCCTAAACTCTAGAAGCCTGCCCCATGACTGCTTGAGGCTTT